AGTAACGATAAATGAAAACGATTCGTTTATCTGTTACGTAAACCTTATCTTTTATCTTTTATCATCTTTTATCTTTAATAAAAAGGATAAAATTTCTGCACATCTTAGAAAAGGTTAATCGAACAACGATATGATAATGATATGACAATGTATAAGACGTAACTAAAATTTAACTTATAATTATATTTTTTGTTATAATGATATTTTAATATTTTTTCTCTTCATACAAATTATACAAGAGCTTGTTTCATTTTATATCTTGTGCTGTTGATTTCATATTAGTATCCTTACTCAATGTGCATCGTTACAGCAAACAGTCAGTTTCCAGTATTTCTAAATACTATCACGTTAAGATTTATGAATGAAAATCTAGAGTTTGACGTTAGAAACATGTAGTAATATAAGGATTGAGTCGGCTTAATTAAATATTGAAAGTATTTCATCTGACACAATAGAATTGAAAACTTCGATACTATTGGTAATTAGTTTACTAACTCCCATGCTCTTAATATTAGTTATATTGTAAATATTGTAAAGAGAAAATATTTCAGCAATACGAATATAACAGTCAGTCAGTATGGCCTAGTGGTTAAGGGTCCGCCTCTCATGCATGAGGGCGCGGGTTCGATCCTGGCAAGTACCAATGTGATTTTTCCAAGTCATATGTACTTTCTAAAAGTATTTAGACGCCACTGACAGACGGTGAAGGAAAAATCGTGAGGAAACCTGAACTTATAATTTCACAATTATAAGTTTAAAAGTGATTAATGCTCAAACCTTCTCCATGTGAGAAGAGGCCTTTGCTCAGCAGTGGGCTCTGATAGGTAAATGACAATGACGAGGAATATGACAGCGTTTTATCCAGCCAGGATCTCAATTAATAGGTTAAAAGATATATAGGAACAAAAATTTAATCAATCGTGTTAACTAAACAAAACATATTGCAAAAGTAAGTATTTCATAATAAAACAATATCTTATCAATATAAGTCAATGGTCCAGTTGTTAATTTCATCATAATTATAAGTAAGTTCTGTTTCAACATTCGTACATTTTATCTTTATCGTGAATGATTAACAAAAAAATATCACAGCCAAACACTTTGTTCAATTTAAAGAATATTCAGAAATATTTAAATATTCATTAATTAAATTAACAAACGAAAAACTTAATTTATCGTTTATCCCAAGGTGAAAAAGACAAAAAAAGATCGTGAATATTTTAATAAATGCAGTAAATATGTACAAAAAGAAAAGTATTCATTAATTGATACATAAGAATATGTTTAAACAATAATAAAATATTGCTTTAGAGAAATTGTTAAATCTTCTCTGTGTGAGTTCAATGGTGTAATAATAATAATTTAAAGAATAAATAAGTTTAAAATATTACTTTTTATTACTTTGACGTGAATTATATATGGTAACAAATAAAAAAACGACTTAAAATTCTCACTTATATAAATGTCAATCCGAAATTTACGAACAAAGAAAAACGTATATAACTTTATTATCATTTTAAAAATTAATTTTGAACGTATATGAACTCTTTCGATTTAATGTTTTTAATCACCCAAAGTATAACAAATCGACTCGGTTTTTCCTGGAACACATCATCAGGAAAACCAATAATAATGTATCACAAAATACTCATTATACTCATATATTTATCATCATATTTTACCTTTTTAAATTTTATTAATATATGCAATTTTCTTAGTAATATCTTAGAAAGATAAGACATATATATATTTAAGATTTCGCGAGTACTTATTTCAAAGAAATGAAATATTTGAGATACAATGAGTTTTTTTATAATAACATTTGAAATTTGCTGTAAAAAAACGGATTATGTAGTAAAAATATTTAAAAAAACGCGTAGTATCCGAAAACTTTAGCTTAATTTAAATGTAAAATTTAATTCTTATATTAATTGTTCACAAATTATAACTGCAGTTTAAAAAATAACTGAAAATCAATTTAAAACAATGAATGTATGTTAATACGTAATAAATTGTGGATGCAATTTCACCGTTTACAGAGACAGTACGATTATATTGTTACTCTGACCACATCGCCCTGCAATTTACAGAACTGCACTTTCTTTACGAATGGGATTGTATGCAACTGTTTATTATATTATTTATGCTTATTTAAATTCAATATAACAATATTATTATTGAATAACTCCATAAAACTAAACGGGATAAAGAAAAGGTTAAATCTTAACTGACTTAATTCACATCTATTATAAATTGTTTGTTCATTAAACCGATCTTTATAATCTAATTTTCGTGGGATAAACTGCATACTAATGCAGATACTAGTTTAGTGAAATTAATTTACATACTACATAAAGTAAAACCCTAATCTTCATTCCTCAATAAAGCGAAAGGCCTTGAGAGCGAAGTAAGTACCTAGCAAGATCCACTTAATGATTACTAAGAAGTTTAAATTCCCTTCGTATTAAATATAAATACTTCGTCAAGTATTAGCAGACTGTAAACAAAATAAACAGTCGTTATTATAAATTTCATTTAATCAAAGAAGTTAGAAATATTTTTGACCCAAAAATCTTTACATATCTTGAATGCTTCCTTCCTCTAAAAATATACATATATATTTAAATGATAATTAAACTATAACTATTTCATATATATATTGAATATAAAATTAAATAACGCTTTGTATGAGCAACCGCGCACATCAATTCCTTTGTGAATAATAAGGTAAATAATGCAGCACTTCATCTTGTGTACTTAATAGTGTCACTTTCACACGATATCACGACGACGAAATATTCCCCGAGTAGCATTTTATCCGACTATAACAGTCAGGTAAATTACCTGAAGGGAAAATTACTAACGAACAAAGGGAAAATTTATTACGGCATTGTATGTATAGGTAATATATTGAAACATACTAAACTTTTAATGAGATATGAATAGTTTGCCTTATGTTTTCTCCTTATTATGTTTATTTAAAACGTATTATATTTTATGTCACATACCTTGTGTTATTATCTCATATTTATGTCGAAATACACGAGAATTCTTCTCATCTTATTTACAGCAGCATATTAGCTCATCCTATGACTTAATCTGCGCTTAATAACTATTATTTTATTCATAAATAAATGTAGCCTAAGGTACACCTTGTTATATCAGCTATATACCAGTGAAAAACCCCAACGAAAACGGGCCAGCCGTGTTAGGGAATAACCGGAACAAAGAGACAGCGATAGACAAAAATAAAAAAATGTACATGTACAACCATGCGCGTTTAATAAAAAATGATTATTTTAACATTTCAAATGCATACTCTAATTTTATTTATTTATATGGATAAGTAGATATAAAACACAAAGTATTCCAATCGGATATTCATATGAAAGTACTAAATATTTGCATATACCATCTCAATAAATCGAAATGTATGCGGTGCGCGTGCGCAGGATTGATTTTTCCCTCGATAGGCTCGGTAATAACTTAATCCGGTGTCCGTTCTACCATTTGACAGGAAAAAGATATACAAAGATATATTTATATTTATGTGGGAAACATTCTAAAATATATTATAGGTTCTTTTATAAAAAAAATATTTGCTTCCATAACTTTAAGTTTGATTACAATTTAATATGAGTTTCTATAATTTTAATAAAGTATTGTTTGATGTTGTGATAATGAATCATATCAAACGTTGATTAATCTTCAAAGCTTCGATTGGCACACATAGCCATTGAGCATCGCTGGATCAAGAGTGTAAGGTGCGCTTGCGCAATATATTAGATAATATCCGCGTTCTAACGACAAGGAGACAAAACGATTAATAAATACTATTTCCGTTCACTATTCTTTCAATTAAATTGACCATTTTTTCCATATATATTGTATATAACATTCTGAATTTTTAAATTTAAGAATGAATATATATTTCTTTAGGGTTTATTAAAATGCAAATATTCAATGAAAATTACACGCAATACTCCGGAGCGGCAGAATGAAAAAAATAATTCGTCAATGAAATGATTTTTAAATGTAAATTACGTATTGATTCAATGTTATAACTATAGAATTAAGAAAAAATATCCGTTATACATGAATAATTTTTAATTTTTATCACTATTGTATTACTTATACTTGCACAAACTCAGGGACAGAAAAACTATTTAAGTGCAATTACATAAATGTTATGACCGGGCAGGCAATACCTTACGTGTTAAAATCCGCTTGCGAGTCTTGGTATTTTTTCCTTTTCCTGTTACTTGTAAATATACCAACCACGTTAATGATCTTACAATACATACTGACGTTAAAAAAATATTAACTTTTTATGTTAATATAATACAGTTATTTTCGCGTTAATCAATATGTCTTTCTATATATACAACATTGAAGCAAAACTAAAAAAGATATAATTACTAAGAAATAATATATATTTAAATGGAAAGTATAGTAATTTTATATCGTCTAAATATACATTAAGTGAATGAGACTGATATTGTATTATCATAGTAAACGATTTGATTAAAAAAATATTAAGAAAAACAATTGAAAACCGGTTTTTGTGGTCGAGAAGTGAAGAGATATAAGTAGCTTTGACGAAGGTCAGTAAAACATAAACGAAATTAGAGACCAATTAGAGTAATGTGTCATTCATCCCGATTAATTTTATTGTATATATTTATATCTATATACATAAATACTTTTTCCTATACATAAGTATTAATAAACATAAGAGAAATATAATAATATATTCAAGCCAACATATTATCTGAATGTTTAAATGGCTATCATCAAAATCTCTTTCTTGTTCTTATTTAAAATTTGATTTCTTTATCTTAATTGTATCTCGTTGTATAAGAGTTTTATAATCGGCCATAGTACTAAATACAAATTAATTATACATACATAAATAATAATAAATTGATTTGTTTGTATAAATTAAAATAGTAATTACAATGATATGTCTGTATCTATATGTTATAAATAAAAGTACGTACCCTGTAAATATTGGATCCCTTCATCAACTTCTGGGACAACATGAAGGAAGGTTGTAGATAATAGAACACCACCTCCAAAAGACAGGAGTATCATAATCACTCTGTTCTTGGACTTCATATCGGTGGCTTCAGCTGCGGAAACCCATCTTAACTTCCTCGCCAAGAACAATGGTATCAGCCCGCATATCATGGAAGCGCAGAATAATACAGCCATAGCGGTACCCTTAGCAAGAACCACTCCATCCGAATCCTCGGTACCATGATCATGATCGTGGTCATGGTCATCGAATAGATCACTCAGGTTCGATGCTTGTCCGCTCATGTTTGATGTGTAATTGGATCGACTTGGTAGCATATGGACTTTTATATGGAACGCTATCTGCGCGTGCGCCGGCCGAGACAGACGCGGCGTTACTAGTTACTACACACGTAGTTCGTTATACTCCGGCGCAACCTGCTGAGCAGAACCTTCGAAAAATCAAATATTGCGAAACGATCCAACCGTATTATGGTTTGGAGTAATAAGTATTAAAAACTCCTTATTTAAACCTCTTTGATAGGCTATATGATGAAAAGAATTCTTATTATAATTTTTATTATAGAATATACTATGTTTCAAATTATTTTGTATATTATACCGTCTCGACTGTCGATTGTTTTGCAATACATATTAACTTTTTCTTAAGTTTATAATTTTTATATTGTAAACGTATTTAATTGACAATGTAATTACAATTACTTTTGTAATAAATAAAAACTGTAAATGGAATCTTTTTTTTAAGATTTCTTTCATACATAATATCTACATATATGTATATGATATATTTTCTTTATTTTTGCAATAAAAACAAAATTTTATTATGATTAATTTAATCTTATATTTGTATTCAAAAAATATATAATTTATTGTTTTAATATCACATGATAAAATGTATAAATTATCTGATGTTTGACAGCTTAAGCCACGTCAATAACGAAAATATGTAACGATAACGATTTTAACGGATGCGATAACGAAAATAACGGATCACGTTATTTTCAATTGTTCGGCGACTCGTTATATCGAGACGTCACTGATAAATCTATCATAGATTATATAGAGACTTATCAAATAAATACAACAATATATATATATGATAAAATAAAATTTGAATGTATATTATTAAAAGAGAAAATTAATTTAATTAATTATTCATATAACAATATAATTATACATATGCATATTAAATAAATATTTAAAATTATAATAAAATATATTTCATATTTATATAATATCATATTTTTTAAAACATATGATTTAGTAAGTGGTATACACCGAGTTATAATAACGAAATAATTAATTAAATTTTGTCTTATCAAATTATACATTCAAAATTTTGTCAAGGATGTTCTCAATATAAATGTAATATTATATATTTTTATGATAAATTATGTTTAAATATTATATTATGTTTAAAGACGAAAGAACAGAAAGAATGCTTATTATAGCGATTGCTTTTTGTCGGCTTGATCACCTGTAGTTGTAGCTCCAGGGGTTCATTTTTTAGAAGAAAGGGGTTCCTTTTTTAGAACTAAAGGATTAAAACAATATCAAATAGGGTTGCAATAAAATGGAGGGCGTCACTCATCAGAAAGACAGCTGCAAGAAAAACCACCTTTAAAAGACTTCTAGATTTAAGTTATGTAAAAAGTATCATGTAGTATTTAATACTCCAGATTTTAAACCCTAAAACGAGTCACCATTAATAAAACTTGTTTTTTTATTATACTAATAATTTAAATGTGAAAGTTGTAATGTTTGTCTTTGTATAACTGAATCACTTAATCTGCGAAATTATTTTGGTATGATATTTGTAGTTGTGCTCAAATTAAATAAGTCACTGGTTCCAAAATGTGAAGACGGATATGTTTAAAAATATAACCGAAATTGTTTGTGAAGGAACTATTATTTAAAAAGGATAATAGAGATAAATTACTTATTGCTCTTCTCATTATGAGTGTAAATAGTTTTAAAATTACATTTTCTTTACAATTTACAGCAGTTAATCTTTATATATTTGTATATATTTTACGACTATAACTATTGTTAAGATGAAAGACAGTCAAAAACTATGAAAGTAAGATAAGTTAGTTGCACAATGCACAATTCGCAAATGTGTTTGCCATAGCACTTGTAGGCGTAGCGAGTCTTGCACAAGATGTACTTAGTGTGTGGTAAGAAATAGCAACACAGATACTTGACATACTTATTAGTTTAGTCTGTGGACAATTTCTGGACTGCCACAGATTAAAAATATAATCTAAAATTAGACAAGCTCTGGTATTTCTTGAAATTATAACTTGTCTTTGGTCATCGTGAATTTCTACTGATAAAATATTTTTTTTAGCTATACTTGAGTTATATTATAATTACAAAAAAAAGAGAAAAGCATTCAATTACTTTTACAATTCATGCTTTCATTGATAGCGCAAAACACAACCATTTTTATTAATTACGATAAGAATAAATATGAAATATAAAAAAAACGTTTGTATTCCACAAGTAAATTTAAACCACATTATCATTTTCGTCAAAATTATCTAAGCCAACCAAAAATTGATTTCTTGATTCGTACCTCATCCTTATACCCAGTCTTTTTTAATTATGATTCTTTAATACGTATAAACTAAACAAAAACTATAAAAAATAATTGAAAAACATTTGCTGTTTTTAATCTTTAGAACATAAACATAACAAAAATTATCTCCACCTCTTATGCAAATGCATCATTATACAAAGTCGTGTTGTATTCTGCACAGATGTTGCTCGTCTGCATTTCTTTCGGTTTAGGGAATCCCTGTGCTGGTGAAATCCGGTTCGTGGCCGCATAAAATCAAGATTACATTAAATTTTCCTCAAGAAACATCACGATGATACTCGATGGTACAAAACATCACTATTTTGAATTTTATATACTTTTGAGTTATTTAAAATGATGAAATTTTACGATTTATCATCTTTCTCGCACAATATTATAAAAAAAATAGGTTTCCTCAATAAATTTATTTGATATGTAGGAAACTTTCCAAAAAATTTTTAAAGTTTAATTAAAAACTTTCCTATTAACTGCTAATAATTACAAACACTACTAGACCTCAATAATTTGAAATTTCTGGTTTTAATAAGAAATTTCAATATAAATATATATATATATATATATATATATATATATATGTAATTAGTAACTAGTTACAAATTCACCTTCTATCAGTATGCTAAGTACGAGTATTTATCTACGCTACACAGGCTTTTCCCGTTTCCCATTCAATAACTACGTTAATGATAACGAGCCAGGATTTATGAACCAGAAATGGTTAACGCTCCCTATGTAATGAGTCGATGCAAATTTGCTGTGAGAAAACATATCAAGTAATATTTAAATATAAATCTACACCTGGGTCGCAAGTCCCAAGCACTGTTGAAGCTCTCCCTGCAACGATGGACCGGGCACCCGCACGGTGAATCCATGGAACGCTGAGAAGTTTCGTCTCAAAGATTTGTTCTCAAAAACAAATATTATAACTTTATATAATACCTTATAAGCTTCATCATCAACGTCGTTATTTGAAGTTCATATTATTTTCCTTATAAATGCATTCAGGTGTTATTAAAGACGAAATAATATAGCCGTATTAATACCCACCTATTATTTTAAATAATTGGCGCCAATGAATCATCTTTTAAAATGATATTAAGTCATCAATCGAAAATAAATGCGAGTGGTTTTTTTTCTGAATTTCCCTCGTTAACAGTAAGTAAGGGTTTTATTTTGTCATTAAGATTTTGACGTTACACATTTACTTAAAGTATTTTCGGATAACCACAATATCTGTAATTAAAGAGCTATTATGATATCGGTATTGTAAGAACAAGATGCTCAGTTTATTCAGTAAACGAAATTTAATAAAATGTCTGTACTAACAAGTTATTTTTGACATTATTCATTTTTTAGAAGGTACCTTATACAACTCATTTCAATCACACGTTTATGTGTCTATTGTTAAATCACATACACAAAATTATAGATATCACATCAAGCTACATTCCTACAATGATCAAATCTAATCGATTATTTTAAATAACACACTCAATTAATATAAGAAATTTAAATGCGCAGTTTATATTGTAGCAATTTATTACTTTCCAATCAATTCCGTTCTAATTAGCTCTTGAAATGCTTTCGAAAAACTATTTTATGTAAAACGTACAGTGACTATTACAAAACTCTGAGTCATTCGTCCCAATTTAACTTGTCCAAGAACAACTTTCCTTAGTTTCGTTCGTAAATTTTCATTTTCTTTCAGGAAAATCGTTATGGTTGCACTACATAGCGTGAAATCACTTAAATAAAAATTTACATTTCTCTATTTACATATTTGTATTATTTATACAATATTAAGAAAAACTTATAAAAATAAATAAAAGAAATCGTCAAAAATTTGGTAAGTATATATTTGTTAAAAAGGATAATCAAAAATTTTTATTTATTTAAAAATAAAATGATGCCTTTATTTAAAAATCAAACATACACTAAAATTGTGAAAACTACAATAAAGAAACAGTGCTGATAATATTACAATATATTTGTTCCACAATTCATGAGCAATTCACAATTTTACATACTTTTATATATTTATTATTGAGCCATAAAAAGATGAGTCATTTCTGTTTTTCCAAAAATCAATATAAGAAATTCAACTGCTCCTTTGACAAAAATCTACAAAACAAAACTGTTTATATAAAAAAAAATCTCTTATACCGGATCTTAAGCAAATAAAATGCGAAAAATAAAATTCGCTAGCGATAAAACGTCGTTACGTTACTAGCGATAGCGACACAAAGTATTATCTTCAAGATCATATATGAATATATAATATTATCACGCACTCCATTTATGACAATAATTTAAATATAAAGAATTCTTTGATCTGTAGCTTAAAGGATGGAAGAGTTGTTAAAAATAGGTTAAAGTGTGGAATCGATCCGGGAGACTTAAACTCCAAGACTTGTTATACTTGAATGAGAATAATAGACCAAGAGCCCACGACAGCCAGACCCTCGTTATTTTATAAAAGTTGAAAATTTCTCTGTACGTGTCTCCTATACAGGTAAAACGATCAGCAACTATAGAGTTTGGGTTGTTGTTACTTAGACAATTAACAGGTAGTAAAGGTGTATCAAATATTATTTAAATTTCGTAAAACTATAAAGCACATTTTTTTTATATTTCCTTCGGGATATCTTTAGAAACTTTCAACTTTTATTATATATTAATATTCCGT